ACGTCATTGTTGCAACTTGCAACTGCGTTAATACGCCTGGCGATGACCGTCTCATACTCTTTCAGATATTTAGCAGTAAAATAAAAAACCTGTTATTTTTAAGCTGTTATTTTAAGCTGTTTTTTATAAATAACTATAACAGTTGCAACTGTTATCTAAAAATAACAGTTTTGCCCATCACTAATTAAAACGTATAATACATAATTATTGTGTTATATTATTTTTAAAATGGTTGAGATTCTTTGAACATAAAAAAATCATTAAGGGAGAAATTATACTGTATATCAGCCAAATCGAATGAATTAGATAACAAATAAATGGTAGCGTGTCCGATGCAATTTTTCATCAAAACTTTTTATACCGGGTGCGTCTCAAAAGTGGCTCACCCCTATAACTTTTTTATTTTTTCAGATAAAAAAACGAGATTTGGTATGTTAGTATATGTCGTAAATTGGGATTGATTGACGTATACAATTGTTTTTAGTCACTTCCTGTTTCACCGGAAATGACTACAACTTTTGATTTTTAAATGGCACCCTCGCTATTTTTTTACTGTATTCGATAAAAAATTACACTCCGAATAGAATGACATATCATATGTCAACTTTTGACATTCTAGATTAATAAAAAATCGTATTTTAAATTTCAATCTAGAGTGCCATGGCTATGTTAAAACACTAATTTTTAATTAAAGAACCTTGGAAAATAGATTTGATCGTCTAAAGTTTTTAGTGCCTTGTTCTTGCCGGTTGAAAGATACCCAAATCGTATTTTTAATCATATCTCATTTTTTTCAAATGGAACGAGGGTGGCTCATTAGCATAATTGGAAAAAAGCATTTTTTTACTTGATATTTCGAGTAAAATTTTCGTCATGAACCGCATGTTATAATTTCAAATAAACCATATGCGTAAATGTCAAAAGTTGACATATGATATGTCATTCTTTTCAGAATGACATAGAATGACACAGAATGAAGCGGTGATAGAATTGTTTTAAAAATGTGGATTTTTATATAAAAGCACCTGCTCCATCTATCAAAAATATTATCAGCGTTACAGTTTTGCCGGATCATTTGACAAGTGGTAGCATCTTTGTTATTTTAAATGGAACCCAGTATATTATTACATTTTTGGAAACTACTTTCATATCTCATAATTTTTCTATTATATTAACCTATACCTATTAGAACGAGAGCTAGCAACGTCGGATAAAACAAGTATTTTAAGACGTCTGGCTCTTTGATATATCTTTTACTATGCTCTCTAGAACAGCATGCGGCCCGTCTGGCTGCCAGTAAACGTTGCGTTCCTCACTGCAGTTGGCGGAGCTTAACAGAAAATTACTACCCGAGTGACGTCATGCGCGCGGAGAACAGATTTGCGACCGCCAAGGATTTTATCTAAATTTAGTCCTTTAAATTCTAATATTGAATATAAATCGAACATGTCTCCATAGCGCAGAATGACATTTTCTATCGAATAAAGTAAAAAAATACCGAGGGTACCATTTGAAAATAAAAAGTTGTAGTAATTTCTGGTGAAACAAAAAGTGACCAAAAATAATTTAATACTTCAATCACACACAATCCTAATTTATGTTATATACTAACACACCAAATCTCGTTTTTCTATCTGAAAAAATAAAAAAGTTATAGGGGTGAGTCTCTTTTGAGACGCACCCCGTATATTCAATAAATATTGGAACACCCTGTATAACTCTAACGGCCTAACATTTATTATAGTACTTTAATGAAATATATTTATCATACACAATTATTTATGGGTGCATATCGTACACATCTATTAATTACATGTGTTTGAATAATATTTTGAATTAAATTCACCCGCACCATTAGTCACAACATTAAATAAGCCATAAATCAACAACCGACTATACAAATTTCCAGAAACCGCATTTGTTGTGTGAGTTTTCTAAAAATAGGAGATATTTGTTCAAATACTGCTTGTTTGCTTGTTTTCAAAAAACACTTTTTGCGAAAAACGGTCAAAAGTTAAAATACAAGGTATGATCGGAATGATGTTATCAAGTGATGAATGGTATTGTAGGTGGGGTCACTACAGGGTGGTCCGAATAGTATTCGGGAAACTTTGGCAGCATATTCTGCAGGTGAAAATAAGTAAAAAAGTTCCTATAAATGTATCTCCTAAAATGCTTCATTTCGACGATACAGGGATACAGGGTATAGAAGTTTCATATTTATTTCAATTTTTTCCAAGTAATTTCTGAACTAACGTTGACATTTGGATGAAAATTGATGTCGAACCATTTTCATAAGACTCCTATTTGTAGGGGGCGCCACCTATACATGTTTTAGCTGGTTTGAAGAGTAATAACTTTTCTTCCGTACCTGTATAAAACTTACTGACTAAAAAATACATGTTTCAGCCGTTATTTAGGTAAGAAAGGTCTAGTGGTATAAATCACTATAAGTTCTCGGGATATTTGGAACCGAAATAACCAATATACGTCATCATTGACAAAAGTTGAACAAGTTGACAGGATAGTTATTAGACTGAAATCATAAATTTGAAATGTTTTTATCCAAAAGGTTCAACAAAGAAGTTCTAAAAAAGATTATGATTGATTTATAAAAAAATACAAAGTTCCCAAATTCACCATTTCAGTCAAATAACTATCACAAATATGCTTTGATTTATTGACAAACGATTGACAAGTATTGATGATTTACATTCCAAATATTTTGAGGACAATTACTCGTAGCGAAAAAATATGCATTTGCGACTTTTTTACGAAAAAAATGGCGTTAATGTATATTTTTTCACTTAGTACTTAGTTTTATACCGGTACGGACGAAAATCTATTACTCCTCAAACTAGTTAAAAAATACGTAGGTGGCGCTCCCACAAGTAAGAGCTTTCTTGGTATATTCTTTGATAGGAGCCATATTGACATCGAAATCAAATTTATCATGTTAAAAAACACCCAGACACCAATGTTCATCCAAATATCAACATCTCCAATAGGCGGCATAATAAGGGCTTTTTTATGCTGCCGAAATTTCCCGAATACAATTTGAGCCACCCTGTACAATTACTTGAATTAAACAAATGTGCTAAAATACATATCAGGGTATTCCAGTAGGAATTTAAAAAAAAATGTATATTGTTTCACTTAGTACTTAGTTTTATACCCGTACGGACGAAAATCTATTACTCCTCAAACTAGTTAAAAACTACGTAGGTGGCGCTCCCACAAGTAAGAGCTTTCTTGGTATATTCTTTGATAGGAGCCATATTGACATCGAAATCAAATTTATCATGTTAAAAAACACCCAGACACCAATGTTCATCCAAATATCAACATCTCCAATAGGCGGCATAATAAAAGGGCTCTTTTATGCTGCCGAAGTTTCCCGAATACAATTCGGGCCACCCTGTACAATTACTTGTATTAAACAAATGTGCTAAAATACATATCAGGGTATTCCAGTAGGAATTTGAAAACCAAAATTAGATACATTTGGCTTACCCTTAGAGGGTAGCCACCCCAAACTTTTTTTTACTACGAAGCTACCGTTTGTAGCAAATCTTTGAAAAGTTACAGTCTTATCCATAACCTTCAATAGTGCGATTAGTTTTTGAGATATACAGTGCTTTTATTTTAACTGTGAACATAACATTATGGCTTAGTATAGTGAAATGCTATTCTGATATGTTGATTTTTAAAATGGAACAATCAATGCATTGGATTTGGATTTGAATGAATAGTACGCAACCAACAATAATCCGTTAGAAAAAAATATTTGTTTTAAAATCCTTTATTTTGTTTTACTAGTTCTTTCTCAAGAAATTGCAAAAAAATTCTAATTTTGGATAAAAATAGCTTGAATAATAATTGTATTTCATGTTTATTCATTTTAAGTAAAAAACAGTACTGCCTGTCAATATTTATTCAATGGATAATAAAAGTTTAGTTTTGGTGTTGACAACAGAATGTGATTACAAATTACAATAATTAACCTCTATGTTCACAGTTAAAATAAAAGCACTGTAGGTGTTTAATAATAACTAGCATTTTTGAAAACTACTTGAATTTCTCTACAAATTTTGTTTCCCATTCGTCCACTAATATTTACGATATTACTGATTTTCTAAGATATACAGGGTGTCCCAAAATAAGTTCATTGAACACAATTTATCTCTTACAAAAGTGCTTCCTTTGTCCGCTAAAGGGAATGAAACTTTAAAAAAACACATTTTTTCAGATATTTTAAGAACCGTTATTCCGATTTGAATGATATTTTGGGTGTCTATGTTTTACAAACTGCTTTAGTATTTGGCTTTCTCAATAATCAAGAAAAAATACATGAAGGGTGAAAATTATCCACACCCTTACAAAAATTTTAGTAGAATTTTTTTCCAACTCCACCGATGACCGATTTTCTTTTCGTAAAATGGTTCCTCTAGTATTTACTACATTTTTTTTTTTTCTCTTGTAAAAAACGGCTATGATATATAGATGGCTACTTTTCAAATTGTCCCCCTGTATGCTAATAAATGAGTAATATAATAATATAAAAAATCTCTCTATATATAAATTAGAGCGAAAGTATTATGGCTACGAAAATATCCTCTGTGTTTATTTAAACAGAAAATACATTTCTGAGTATACACTCGTAGAGGAAAATCTGTAAATAGACGTGGGTGGAAAAATAAAGAACCGAAATCCACTATAACTTTCCGTCTGGTGTATATCGAATTGGCTGCACCAATTCAGCTGTTCCAGTTCTTCTTGAGCTGTGCCGCCAACCAGAAAATAGTATATCTCCTAAACAGTTTTCGTGAAAATCAAGATAAAATGGTATAATTCAATATTTTTGTTTTTAGTATTAGTTTGTCATTATCTGAATTTTTATTGTGTATTCTTAATAAGTTCTTTAGAGCTATACTTTCAATGTTAAATATTATGCTTAACTACATATATGGTGATATTAATATTGGTGTTTTGTTTTATAGGATGAACTTCCAGCAGAACAAGTTGCAGGTGAGTGTTTTTTCATTTAGAATTAAAAGGTAAATAGTAAATGTAGTGCTATCCAGAGCTGCAAGCTCACAAAAAACTTAAGTCTTTTTTTGATTTAAATCATTTTAACATAAAAAAAATTGAGTATTTTTGAAAATAATTTGTGATTTAAATCTTTATTCCGAATTAGAAAAAGATTTAAATCTTTTTAGAAAAAAGCTTTCTTTTTAAACTGTTAGGCGGTAGCCAAGTAGCAGAATAAAAAAAACAATGCTCAATACCACTAGTAAATAAACCGGTTTTGATTATTTGTCGTGTTACGCGTGCGTAGTAAGTCTGTTGTCTTTCAAGTGAATCCCCGACTTCGTTATGTAGCCCGAAATACGAACGAAAGAAATTTATCTCGAATATATTGAAGAGTACCTTAAAATCATCCAGCCCCTTAGCCTATGCCATCGACATATTACATGGTAATCAAAACACATCAACCCCTTTTTAATAGACATGTTTGTATTCAATGACTATCTGTAATGAATACATATAAAATACTACAAAATCGGTTAAATGTTATAAAAAAAACATATTTTTGTATTTTTAGCTGTTCTGAAAATTAACCGTTTTATTTTACATATGTGGTTTTAGCCTCACCTGTGTTTATAATAAATTAATAATATAATACTTAGTAAGAAAATCGCCTAATTGGTAATAGAAGAAAACTATTATTAACATTTAAAAAAAGGTACTTAAATTGAATTCTGGTTGTCTTGACTTGAGGGTAGTTATATAGATTTAAGGCTCTGATACTGACTTAATTTGCAGATCACATGATTTAAGTAAAAAATATAGATTTAAGTCATAAAATCGACTTAAATAACGTAATATTGACTTAAGTCTTTACAAAAATGATTTGACTTGAAATAAAATGACTTAAGTCAAAGATTTAAGACTTAAATCATTTGAAGTTTATGTTGAATTTGCCTTAAGACTTAAATCATTTTGATTTTAGAAATGACTTAAGACTTAAGTCTTTTTAAAACTGACTTGTTGCAGCTCTGGTACTATCTATATTTTTCTGTTATAACAAGGTCAAAAGAGCCACCAAAGTAAACTAAACACTAAAAATAAAATACTATAAATTAAAAATAACTATAGTCTGTCCAGCGAGAGAAATGTATTATTATTTCGACAGATATCGTCCAAATATAACACAAATTTTACTTTCAAACTCTTTTTTTGTTAAATATTCTTTCGTTGGACAGATTATACATTCAATCAAATTATATTATATTCATCACAACAATATTGATTAGCGCTAATTACCAATGAATAAGGAAAATCGAGCCAACGAGAAGATTCAAGTAAATAATATCCAGGTCAGCAACTTAAAGATGTTATTTTTAATTTTTTTTTATTGTGAATTTGAATTCTTAGTTAGTGTTCGATCTAATAATATGCATAATATTAATCGTATACCGGGTGCGTCTCAAAAGTGGCTCACCCCTATAACTTTTTTATTTTTTCAGATAAATAAACGAGATTCAGTATGTTAGTATATGACATAAATTAGGATTGATTGACGTATTCAATTGTTTTTGGACACTTCCTGTTTCCCCGGAAATGACTACAACTTTTGATTTTTAAATAGCACGCTCGGTATTTTTTACTTTATTATTCGATAGAAAATGACACTCTGAATCGAATGACATATCATATGTCAACTTTTGACATATTCGCTCAAAAACAAATTGTATTTTAAATTTCAATCTAGAGTGCCATAGCTGTGTTAAAAACAATAATTTTTAATCAAGGAGCCTTGGAAAAATAGATTTGATCGTTTAATGTTTTTAGTGTCTTGTCCTGGCCGGTTAAAAGATGCCTAAATCGTATTTTTAATCATATCTCAATTTTTTCAAATGGAACGAGGGTGGCTCATTAGCATATTTGGAAAAAGCATTTTACGAATAATTTGATACCACACACTTGGTATTTTGAGTCAAATTGTCGTTATGAACCGTAGGTTACAATTTCAAATAAACCATATGCAAAAATGTCAAAAATTGACATATGATATGTCATGTCATTCTATTCAGAGTGTCATTTTCTATCGAATAAAGTAAAAAAATACCGCGGGTGCCATTTAAAAATCAAAAGTTGTACTCATTTCCCGTGAAACCGGAAGTGGCCGAAAACAATTGAATATATCAATCAATCCTAATTTATGTCATATACTAACATACCAAATCTCGTTGTTTTATCTGTAAAAATAAAAAAGTTATAGGGGGTGAGCCACTTTTGAGAGGCACCCGGTATAGTTATTATAAATAAATCAACCTCTATAAACTAGTTTCTAATGCTCTACATGTTCGAAAGGGTTACCACCCTCCCAGTAACGTAACTTCAAATGTGAGGCCCCCCGCAAGATTTTTTGGGGCCCTTATATTAAAATAAAAAAGAACACACTAAAAAAAATAATACAGGGTGGCCCATCGAAAACGTTCCGCAAGGCATAACAGCTAGGGTATTCTTTTTTTTTTAAAAATCTAGAAACACGTCAATTTTGTTTGTGAGGGGGACAACTTTTGCCCCAAAAATGATTGCGAAATCTTCAACCCTTTAAGCGGGGGTCTCATCCCCCAACTTTTTTCAAATAGGAAGGGGGGTCAAGTGGCGCCGCAATGAAAAGAGCTTTCTATTCTCTATATTTTCCCGCCTCGTTTTTGAAAATCGGTCGATTCATTGAGGAAATATGAAGGATTGAAATTTGAAAAGTTTATTTAAACATCTATCAGAGTAAATGATAAGGATAAATTCCTTCGACAAATTTGAGGTATTTTCTTATTATTTCTAGATGTTTACGCATTTTTTCACTTGCCACGAGGTTGAACGATCAGGTGCGGTAGTTGCTAAATAGCTGTTCTGTGACTTGTGCGTTGAAGTTCTTCTCAATATCGTTAAACTGACCTACAATAGAATTTCCAAAAATACCAGCCCACACATTTAATTTCTGAGGGTTTTGTGTGTGCACCTCGTGAAAAACCCTGGGGTTGTCTTCAGCCCAGTACCGACAGTTGTGCCGATTAACTACATCGTTCAAAAGAAAGTACACACATTACTTAAATAGGAAATTATTATCATTCGCCACTCGTTCACTCATAGTTTCACAAAATTGCAAGCGACGATCAAGATCGTCTTCGTTGAGTTCTTGTACGAACTGAATTTTGTACGGGTGGAACTTGCGTTTTTTTAATATCCTTTGGACACTTGTACGATTCACGCCGGTCTCATTGGCTAATTTTCTTGTACTCAGCGTACTATCCATGGCAACTTGGTCCAATACGAATACCTCCATAGCTTCATTTACTACAGGATTTCACCTCTGCCTCCTTTTATTCATAACGGAACCAGTTTTGCGAAATTTTGCTACTAACTCGCGAACAATTTTGCCATAAAGGTGGTTGTCAGGATGGCGTTCATTGAATATCTGCGCAACCCGATTGCCACATTCATTATTTTTAAAATAAAGTTCGATTATTTCCACTTTTTCTGCAAGTGAGTATACCATAATAATTGTTAAAAAATTTAACGATATTGAGAAGAACTTTAACGCATAGGTCACAAAACAGATATCTAGCAATTACCGCACCTGATCGTTCAACCTTGTGACAAGTGAAAACATGCGTAAACATCTAGAAAAAACAGCAAATTGGTCGAAGGAATTTATCCTTATCATTTACTCTGATAAATGTTTAAATAAACTTTTCAAATTTCAATCCTTCATATGTTCTCAATGACTCGACCGATTTTCAAAAACGAAGCCGGAAAGTATAGAGAATAGAAAGCCCTTTTCATTGCGGTACCACTTGAACTCCCTTCCCATTTGAAAAAAATGGGGGATGACACCCCCGCTTAGAGGGTTGAAGATTTTCCAATCATTTTTAGGGTAAAAGTTGTCCCCCTTACAAACAAAATTGACGTGTTTTTGAATGTCCTGAAAAAAAAATTACTCTGGCCGTTATGCCTTGCGGAACGTTTTCGATGGGCCACCCTGTATAGCTTTATGTAGGTTTATCAAGTCATTTAAAATATAAAAACAAAAAAATAAACTTATTCCACATAAGAAAAAATAATAATATAGGAACATAAAAAATAAAACATTACCAAATAAATCAACATAAAACAAATCTTAGGTACTAAAAGAAAACAAAATAATAAAAATAAATAAACATAAATAGACTTTTTCTGATAAAAATAAGATTCAAATTAAAATAAATTAATAGGAACAAATAAACATAAGGATTGTAAATAAATGCGCTACGTTTGGGTTATTATTCTAATGAAAGATGAAAGATTCAAATTCAAAAAGTCAAATTTAATAATGCATGATTAAATTAACTTGGCTAAAAAATAGGTGTTTAAAATTAAAGCATACTACATTAATAAGGTAACAATGTAGCTTAAAAATTAAGTCCAAAATATTTTTCAAGTTTTCCCTTTTATTTTTGGAAATTCTAGGGCACGCTGTTCACATATTGTATTTAGTAAATAAAATTTGAGGACCCTGAGGGGCCCCAGAGTCACAAGGCCCCTCCGCCGTTGCGGGTGCTGCGGGGCCTTCACTACGCTACTGCACTCTCCCCATTACCGTTGCTATTACACAAATTTATTTTTCGTTCAATTCTATTTATAGCTCTTTGAACTCTCTTCTTATACTTGTGCATTTTGTACTCTTTTATACCGAATGCATTTTGTACTCTTTATTGTAAATGTTGAGATGTATTAATTTCACTTTTACAAATGACGTCAAGTAATATCCCCCCCGCCCCATGGCGACAGGTCCAGGAACCTCGCTGACCATTATACTGCTCTACCATTTCCAATCCATCTTCCGGGGAAATGATTTAATTGTTTATATTATATTACATTTGTATTATTTTTTATTATTTTATTACATTTGATTTTCCGTATTCAATATTTTACGCCACGTCATGGTTAAGTTTGAAAGCTTATCAATATTGTAACAATGAATAGATTAAATATTTAAGAAAAACAGAGCCGGACTGGAAATTAGTTTAAATAAATTGTATTCAAATGTCCGAAACAAAAAGAATGTGGCATATCATAAAATGTGACATATCTTCAAAACTGAAATAAAAAATGCAGGTCCGTATTTAAAAAAATTAAGTTAGCCTCTGTATCTCACAAATTATCAGCTAATTTGAAAATCTAAAAATACTGTCAGATAGCCCTAATAAAGTGGCAATGAGAATGTTGTGCAATTAGTTTGATTTTCTATAAAGTAAGTACAGGAAAAAATAAAATTAATTTTGAAAAAAATCCGTTATCTTTACAGGGTGTTTTAAAATTAGGGTAAAAAACAACCCTTCAATTAATCCTGTATAATAAGTCAAATACTAAAGTTTATAAAAAACTGAATTTACGAATTCAAGTTAATATATTGATATACAGTATGTTAAAAAAATCATGAAAATAGGGCTAAAAGTGCTAAAAGTAAGAAAAATATAACATTTTAAACTTGGCGGAAAAAAATTCCGTTGCGTTTTTTTGGCATCTGAGTGTATATCAAACGCTGTCAATCCAATATTAATATTATAGTAAGAACTATGTATTAATATATCTGTCTGGTGTTAAATTAAAAAGCTTTTAACGTGACATTTTGTCGCCAGGTCTTCGATGAAACGTTTTCTCTGCGTTGTTTCATGTTCGAAGCACGTAAACAATTTTTGGCATAGGCTCTTTCTTTGATTAAACGGGACAAGTTGGATATAATTTGTTTTTGGCAGCTTAGCTCTACAGCTGTCGCTTTCAGTAGGATGATCTTCTGTATCCGATTACTTTTACTTGTTTTTTAATAGACTCGTTTTGTTATAGCTTTTTGATCCTAGTGTAGTTCATTTATTAGTAGGATAATATTTTTAGTTCAGGTCTTGTAATACAGGTAGCTGCAATTTGTCATTTTTTAAAATTTCATATTAATGCTGTAAAAGAAAAATAGCTCAAACTTGTAATAGAGGTATCTGCAATTTTTCTTTTTTTTAATATATATTTTTGTAATTCCACAAAAAAAAATATTGTATTATGTATTGTTAATAATATATTAAATAGGTAATATATCTTTAAGTGGACTGTAAAACACTAAATTCATTAGAGTCCATCTATTCTTGAAATATTATATTTATACATTTTACATTTAAAAAAATATCTTGACAGATCAAAAACTAAAAATTATTATTCATAAAAATAAACATGTATCGATAACAAGGATGAATTTTGGCATCTTTATATAAATTATAAAAAACTATTATAAATTTTAGTATTTGCTTATTTATACAGGGTTAGTCGAAGGGATGTTTTTTACCCTATCTTTAAAACAGCCTGTGCAATAACTTCGTATTTAAATTGTCCTAAAATATTATTTTTCGATCAGAACCATGTCTCCTGAGTATTTTGTTTTTTGACTCATGTTAAATTTGCAATTTTTTCAACATCATTACTTTATGACGTTAATTTTTAATTCACGAGGTGGCTTTAGTGACTTATTGTGGTAATATCATATCGACACTGATTAAAACTCTATATAATAATAATAATAATAATAATAGCTCCCGTATATAGCGTTTAACGCCTTGGGAGTAGCAAGGTACAGCTTGCCATATTAGAGCCGTTCGGTATACAAGGAAGGTAATGTGGCTAGCACTACGCTTCAACCGCCTATTATTACCTCAGGATTGTGAATCCCAAGTACTCATTTAAGGCTGAGTCGACCTAGGTACCCAAACTATATTTATTTTAATGAAAATAGTCGGCTGATGAAATGCGGGGTGTGGGTATCGAACCCACTACCTTCAGATTGGTAGACAAGAACCTGTACCTCTACGCCACCGGGCACCTAAATAAAAAACTCTATATTAAAATATAAAAAACGTTAAAAATAACCACACAGGCTGGGTTTCAATAAATATTAGTGACACTAACAGAACTAACAACATTAAAAAAATATACTGTAATATCTAAGTATACAAACACAAAAAAAAACTTGTAAAAAATACTCTAATACTTTGTAATGCCTCCCCCGGCTGATATAACTGTCTATAGACACCGGTTCATACTGTTAATGAGGCTACAAATATATTGTGTAATGTTTTCCCATTCCTCTTCAAGAACTAAGTGAATATTCATAATTTCATCCAACTTCAACAAGACTTTTGCACAATCTACGACACTAAGAACCATATTCATTCGTACACAACAATAACCACCAAAGCCACCGCCTCATTATGAAGAATAACATCAAAAAGTAACGATAACTGAAAAAATTACAAAATGTTTATGACAAGTTCATTTTGGTCTTAAAAATTAACTAAGGCATGTGTTGACATTAGTCACAAAATAAAATATTCAAGAGACATGGTTCTGACAGAAAAATAATGTTTTAGGAAAATTTTCTAACGAAATCATACTTTTGAACACAGGGTGTTTTAAAGATAAGGTAAAAAGCAAATTTTTGATTAACTCTGTATAATAAATCAAATACTAAAGTTTTTAATAAACTGAGTTTACGAATTCAACCTTATGGGTTATGTACAGTTTGCTAAAAAAATCAAGGAAATAGAGCTAAAAATAAATAAAATATAACAATTTAAACTCGACCAAAATTTTTTCGGTTGCGTTTTTTGCATCTGAGTGTATATAACTTTTATAAATAATTATAAAAATTATACGTTGGCAGTGGTCGTTAACAAATTGTGAATTATACTTATTAGCAATTTCTTTGCAATTCATTGATGTACCTAATCAAGTCATAATCACTCTAATTTTAATTTTGTTATAGTCCTCCGTAAGGCATTTGAAGCCTTCGACAGCCAAAAATCCGGTAGCATTCCATGCGATATGGTAGCAGATATTTTACGTATAATGGGACAACCTTTCGATAAGAAAATTCTAGAAGAACTGATAGAGGAAGTAGATGCAGACAGTAAGTTAATATTCTATAAAAAATATAAATTAATATATACATGGTGAGTTTCCTACGATGTTCTCTATGGGTATCTCGGAAACTACTGGAGATAGAGAGTCGGTTAAATGGGGAAAGAATTGCAGTTTTGTTGGGTCATAAATATGCGCCTTTCAGATTTTTGAAAAAGTTCATGGCTTACTAGATATTTTGAAAAAAACAAATTTCGGCTATTTTAAAAATTGTCCCTAATTCCATTATAAGCTATTTTAGACAAAAAGTTTTCAGATAAAAGTTGTAGATAATCACATTCTTAATGAGACTGTATCCTCCGCTTTTTTCTAAAGTCTGTCATTTTTGACATATGACACAAACATAGGTTTTTTTAAATGGAAACCATAGTTGGCCATGGCTTCATAAAAAGCGCCATTTTTTAAGCTTTTCAGCGATATAAGCTATAATATGTTTTCTTCGAAAAATTACTGAGTTATAGCCAATTCTTCTCATTTTTAAACAATTTCACTTAGTTAGCCATGGAAACAAGTTTAATCGTCTTTGCTCTCATAAATATGAAGCTGTCACATCCAAACTTTGCAAATTAAAATAAATACAAATTGTAAATATAAACTAACTTTTCAAATGAAGAAAAGCGTGTAGGATTATTGGTTCAACTTTTCTTGACCATACATTTTCGAGGATACGTTGACCGGTGAATGTTACGTTTTTTAGAGAACGGCTTTCAAGACATGTTAGAAAAGTTAAATTTAGTTATAGCCAATTCTTATCTTTTTTGGCTAATTTCACTTAGATTGCATGGTATTCTTATTCTGTTATGATTTATAACTTATAAAAAGTCAGAACATATTACTAAACGGTTCTTTACAATTTACATTACACAAACTAAAACTTAAAAAAATAATATCACTACATACACTTTAAGTTATTTTAAAAAGTGTTCAAAAAATCCGCCATTGTTTTGAGAGAGTTGCATATTTTTAAAACTTAATTATTACCCATTCTCACAGAAGGACCGGTCGACCTAATCAAACTTCTCTCGTACCGCCACTTCGAGTGCCTCTCTTAATTCATAAGTTCCTTTGTAAACCTTATTGTTAAATATACCGCATAAAAAATTCTAAAATGGATAGGTCAGGTGATCGAGGAGGCCCAATTAGTCCACCTCTCTCTATCCCTGCGTTTGTATAATTATGATATACATAAATAATTTTTAACATTTATTTTATTATGGGGGGTGGGGGGTGGTGTGTCATAATGAAAGTCATGTTGGAACCACTCTGTTGATGCGCGAGTATCTACACGCGTTTCTTCATTTTAAAAATTCATATTTACAATTTTCGTTTATTTTAATTTGCAAAGTTTGGATGTGACAGCTTCACATTTCTGAGAGCAATGGCAATTGAACTTGTTTTCATGGCTACCTAAGTGAAATTGTCTAAAATTACAAGAATTGGCTATAACTCAGTAATTTTTCGAAGAAAAGATATTATAGCTTATATCACTAAAAAGCTTAAAAAATGGCGCTTTTTATGAAGTCATGGCCAACTAGGGTTTCCATTTAAAAAAAACCTATGTTTGTGTCATATGTCAGAAATGACAGGCTTTAGAAAAAACTAAGAGCACAGTCTCATTAAGGATGTGATTATCTACAACTTTTATCTGAAAACTTTTTGTCTAAAATAGCTTATAATGGAATTAGGGACAATTTTTAAAAGAGCCGAAATTTGTTTTTTTCGAAATATCTAGTAAGCCATGAACTTTTTCAAAAATCTGAAAGGCGCATATTTATGACCCCACAAAACTGCAATTCTTTCCCCATTTAACCGACTTTCTATCTCCAGTAGTTTCCGAGATACCCATAGAGAACATCGTAGGAAACTCACCCTGTATATAAAATACTGCAGATCTATAATTTTTGTAAATTAAAAATGTTGACAAGAGTACAGAGTAACACGTGAAATACTTGTATTGAAGTTAGTTATTAATTTTGTTATTTTTAGTAGTTTAGGGTAAGTCTTAACATTAGGGTAAGTCTTAAATAAGTGCAGATATTTTCAGAGGTTGTAGATCTTGGTAAAAGAAATATATTTTCTCTTTACTCTTTTTTTCAAGTAAATCCAAAATAACCCAGATATTTTACTTTGAAAATTAAAAAAAAATGATTTTTCGCTTCCATTTTCAGGACCGCTGGATCTTTTCTGGGTTTTCTTTCTTGTAAATTGAATCTACTATAGTCTATAAAATGAATAACTTTGAATTTTGACCGTTATTTTTTACCAACATGGCAAATATAAAATCCCTCTGTCAAAAAAGTTACTGATATTCTTTAAATTGAGTGCCTGAACGAATCAGATAGGTAACTCTTTTTACTTTCGTGAAATAGAAAAGGAAAATAATAAAACAAGTGACAGTTCTTCCTCGTCTTGCAATAATCAACACGAAATGTCATAATTGTCAAAAGTAAAATGTCATCAGCTTTTGACATTTCTAAATATCAGACCAATGCCGTCTCTAATAGAACAGCTCCGGAGCGAGATTTATGACGTCACGCTAGTTAGATACTACGGATTAATAAATATGTTGTAGAATATGTATATTTTTTTGGTTAAAAAAAACATTTCGGCTAACATTATAGCCTGTATATTATGTATATTAATTTATGTATATACAGAATTAACTGTATATTATGTACTAGTTGCCTGGCGCATCCGCCACGACATCAGGAAAAAAAAATACTTGTTATTTTTTTTAATTAAATGAAAAACAAAAAATCCGGCGACGACAGTTTTTAGAAGAGCCAATTAGCTATCTTTTAGTAAAAAAAGCAACTTTCTAGAGCAAGTCGTTACTTCTGTAGAGACGACACAGATAAACATTAGCATTTTATATATGTAGATATTTCATGTAAACTATATCATTTTTAAAATACAAACCACAAATAGGAGGAATAATTATGTTTTCCATGTATTCTACAACATATGTATTAATCCGTAGTATCTAACTAGCGTGACGTAATAAATCTCGCTCCGAGGCTGTTCTATTAGAGACGGTATTGCGTCAGCATGGCAGCAAGTTGCTAACCTAATAAAATTAACACTAGAAAAGCCCGCGGGAACTGTCAAATTCAAAGTTATTCGTTTCACAGACTATACCTATGTTGCCATATTATGAAGATATTATGTTTCTTAACTAGAGATTAATGAAAATTCCAAAAAAAATTTCAAAAAAATTAAGCCCAACACAAATTCAAAAAAAATTCTCTATGCGTGTTTCTAGAGTCGAAATATACCGCCCCTAAAAATATTTGCACTTATTTAAAACTCACCCTGTGTATAATTGATAAAAAAAATTGAAATGATGCACACACTGCAATAATTGTTCAATACATCTTCAATCTTGTTGAACTTCAATAACTAATGGTTTGATCAACTAATAATTGACCATATTTAACGACTTGTGCTAGTAGTCACTAGTCAATATTTCAAGAGCCTGCAATTCAGCGAATCACTATCAATTCTCAGGTTTTATAAAAGTTTTATTTTAACACAATAACACAGATTTTGTCATATTCAACACTCTTCAGAACATTTAAAACACACATAAGATTAAGCTCCATGAAAAATATACAAGGTGGTCCCAACTGTATTCCGGAAACTTCGGCAGTATATTCTGCAGATAAAAATAAGTAAAAAAGTTCGTATAAATGTTTGTCCTAAAATGCGTAATTTCGGAGATACAGGGTGTAGAAGTTTTATTTTTATATCGATTTTTTTCAAATAAGTTCTGAAGTAACATCAATATTTGGATGAAAATTGCTGTCTGGGAGTTTTTTGTCATGAGAAATTTCATTAATGTTAATTTGTTAATGTCAATATGACTCCTATTCGTAGAGGGCGGCAACTACATGTGTTTTTACTGTTTTGAAGAGTAATAACTTTTCGTCCGTACCTGTATAAAACTACTGAGTAAAAATACACATTTTCGTGATTTTCTACGTAAAAAATGTCTCTTGGTAAAAATCGCTACGAGTAACCGTTCTCAAGATATTTAGAATGAAAATAGTCAAGACATGTCATTATTGACAAAAAAAATAAACATATTGAGTAAAATAACTATCTACTTTGACTGAAATGATAAATTTGCGAACACTTTATTTTTTTTTAAATTAATCATAACTCTTCTTCCAAAAAATGATGATACAATAGTTTCTATTCAATTTTTGACACAAAATTATGTCAAATCTATGATTTAAATCTAATAACTATTTAGTCAACATGTTTAATTTATGTCAATGATTATAGTATTGATAATTTCTATTTCAGATATCTCGAGAAACATTACTCGGAGCCATTTTAACTAAGAGACCTTATTTACGTAGAAAACGTCGTAAATGTATATTTTTGTACTCAGTAATTTTATACAGGTACGGAAGCAAAGTTATTACTCTTCAAACCTGTTAAAAAATATGTAGGTAGCGCCCTCTACAAGTAAGAGTTATATTGACATCGAAATCGAATTTCTCATGTTTAAAAAACGTCCAGACGCCAATTTTGATCCAAATAGAAATATTGACGTTACTTCTGAAATTATTTATTGGAGAAAATCGAAATAAAAATGAAACTTTTACACCCTGTATCTCCGAAAGCATTTTAGGACATACATTTATACGAACTTTTTTACCTATCCTTATCTGCAAAATATACTGTAGAAGTTTCCGGAATACAGTGCGGACTACCCCCTGTATATTAGGAATAAATATTCGTTTAATTGTGGCTATTATTTAATTTTTTCAAATCAAAACGTAATATTGTTCTTGATAAAAATATAGCCTGTCCAACGAGAGAAGGAATAACAATGACAGTCGTCATTTTTATTCAAAGATGAATTGCACTTACTGTAATTTTTTGGATGTAGCCTGTCGAAATCGTCTCTTCTCTCGTTGGTGAGACTTTAGCCTGTTTGGTTCTATAGGGTTCTATGGTTGTCAAAACCTAAATATACAAAATTCTAATGTCAAATATTCAATTGTCTTCTTTTTTATTAGAATCTGGTCGTCTTGAATTTGAAGAATTCGTCACGTTAGCTGCCAAATTTATTGTTGAAGAAGATGACGAAGCGATGCAGAAAGAGCTCAAAGAAGCCTTTAGATTATATGATAAAGAAGGTAAATCAACTTAGAACACAAAACTATTAATATTTTATATGATTTTTACATAATGTTGTTCTGTTATAGGTAACGGATATATTCCAACATCGTGCTTACGCGAAATCCTCAGAGAATTAGACGACCAACTGACAGACGGTGAATTAGATATGATGATCGAAGAAATTGACACAGATGGTTCAGGGACAGTAGATTTCGATGGTAAGTTGGTTTTCAACTTAATTAGGAATAATCAATGATGCAGAAAAGTGGAATGAATTTAAACCTCTTAAAAAACTAGGACAAGCAACTCGAGAAGTTAAGATAAACATCGAATCGCTATGGGACTTGTCAATTAAACAACTATATGAGAAAAGACTGACAGAGAAAATCCAAGTAAACCCAATAAAAGCAGAGAATAGCATAAATACCTCCAGGGAGAAACTAAACAACAACATCAAAGAGGCCGCATGTGAAGCTTTAGGCACCCGGACTAAAAAAGAAATAATAGCACCAAAATAAATAAAACTCCATGGTTCCGCTCAGAAATTAAAGAAAAATGTAGAGAGAAAAAAATAGCATACCTCAACTACAGAACATTACGAACACAAGAATCATTCCAAACATATAGACGAATCCGAAACGAGACAACGGCACTAGTAAGACGAACAAAAAACTAACAAATCACATAGCAAGGGAATCCTGGATTGATTATTTGTCAGAACTATACAAATCAGAAGAAATCGAGGTTGGACTAAATACACCCGAAATAATGACGAACGACAACGTACAGATTGAGAGAGCCGATATAATTACATCCCTTCGAAAGCTAAAGAATAGGAACAGCCCAGGGCAAGATGACATCCCAAACGAATTACTTAAATCTGGCGGCCAATGCTTCATACAGCAGCTAACATCCCTGATTCAAAAAATCCTTTACCAACACAGGATACCCGATATATGGCAAACCAGCACCACTATCTTGACGTTAAAAGAGGAAATAAGAAACTGCCCTCAAACTATAGAGGCATAAATCTTCTAAGCACCACACTAAAACTTACAAAAAAAGTGATAACAACCAAAATTAACGACTTAACATGCTTAGCAGATGAAGAGCAAGGTTTCAAATCGGGCAGATCACGCACAGACGCGGTTTTTACCAAACCAAACCAGCGTATATGTGTTTTATTGATTTAGAAAAAGCGTTCAACTGTGTGTGTGTCAGGATATGGTGATGTAGAAGCGGCGGTGCGAGAACGGACAACGAAGGTAACCAGATTAGCAGGATGCCTGAATGACACAATATGGCGAAATAAAAATATTGAGGTGGAAACTAAAGCGAGAATTTACAAGGCAACGGTACGACCAATAATGACATACACTGCAGAAACTCGACCTGATACAGCGAAAACTAAACTACTAGAGACAACCGAAATGAGAGTACTACTGCATTTACTACTGCTTCTGGACAGGGAGAGAAATGAAAGCATAAGAAGAGCATGCAAGGTGGAAAATGCAAATGAGTGGATACTCAGCAGAAAGGAAGAATGGAACGAGCATATCAGCAGAATGGACAACAGAAGGATAGTGAGAGATGCACGCGACAAATGACCGCTAAGTCGCAGAAGCTTAGGATGTCCACGAAAACGATGGAACTTGTCAATCTAACCGGTAGAGACGACGAAACCAAACAGGCGATTCGCCTAGTATGAAGAAGGAAGAAAAAGGAGAAGATAAAAGTGGTGCTATCGTCTTCGTGGTGCTATCGTCTTGAAAAATCCTTCTTTCTCTTAAAAATCTTCTTTTTTTTTAATTCCTTCTGAATGTCACACATCTAATGTCAGCAACCAAGATATTTGAGCAAAATGTTCTGAATATAAAGAACGATAGGTTTGGTGATGTACGAAGGCAACGAGACTCATCCTGTACAGGGTGTCAGCCATTTTGGTTAAAATCGTACGGTATCTCCGTTATTAGTAAAGATAGTAGGATGCGGTTTGCGCAAACCAGTGCCACTTTTTTGTCAAAGGGAAGATAAGAGATAAACACAATTTTCATAGCCTTCTTCGTTTCTGAGCAAAATTTTCGAAAAGACCCTGTACTTTTCAAAAATTTTGCTAATTTGGGACAACCCCCATCCCCGTGTCTCCATTATTGTGGATGATATCGAGAAGGTAAAAACTGATTCTTGTAGAATTTTTTATGTAGAATACAGTGGAGTAGTGTCTTTTTCTACGAAAATAATATTTTTGAAAATATGAGAACTAAAGTTATGTTCCTATCGTTTAAAACATTATTTTCGTAGAATGACTATGCCACTGCATTCTACGTAAAAAGTTCTACACTTAACAATTTCCACCTTCTCGATATCTTTAACAATAACAGATACACAGGGTGTAACCAAATTGCAAAATATTCAAAAAGACCCTGTAGCTTAGAAACGGAGAGGACTATGAAAATTTTGTTTACGGCATCTTCCGTTTGAAAAAAAAGTGGGACAGGTTTGTGCAAACCGCAGCCTTCTATCTTCACTAATAACGGAGATACCGTATGATTTCAACCAAAATGAAACGCCCTGTACATTTATATGAATTGCTTCAAACCTTTTTTCGCCTCTTTATTAAAATATCTACAGTATGCTAATAATCTGCATTTTTCAAGACAATTTATAGTCGATTTCATTCGAGTAGTAGGGTAATATTATAACGAAAATATTGTATGTTTACTTCATAGTAGAATGTATGTTTACTTTTCGACCATCTGGATTTTCTGTTAGTATATTCTGTGCTATTTAGAAATTTATAGCTTTTCCACACGATTGCTGACCTATTTTTAGGCCATTGCATACCTATCAACTACATATACAGTCAACGCTCTGGAAACTGGAGTAGAAATTCTATAGTTTAAATATTAAATGACCCATATTTAATTCGATAAAGATAAACGATACGTATATGCAAAAATACAGGATGAGTCTTAAATAAGTGCAAATATTTTTGGTGGTGGTATATTTCGAGCCCAGAAACAGTTTTTTTAGCAAAATTTTTTTTTTCAAAATTTGAAAGTTTTTGAAAAACATTCCTCTGTATAGAGCATGGCACTTTTAGAAGAAGAGAAGTTCAATTACGCCACTTAAGGAACATTTTTACAAGATTTAATGATTTTTTTAACGAAACTTTCAGCCTTATTTTTACCCATTAGTGGGTGTATTTCAATAGATAGTTTTTTACTGCTCATCACATCATTTTAGAAACCTTTGATCCTTTATGCAACATTTCATACTTCTATATACCAGTTATTTGCGAAGCTTTATACAAACCTTTGCTCCAAATTTCACCATGTTATGGGGCGAGGCTCCCAACATCGCTTCGTCACTATATTACCTCACTTAAGAAATCTTTGTGCAACCTTTCATACTCCTAGATCTAATTACTTTTATATAAAGTTTCACCCCTCCCCCTTCTATTTTCCCCCTTAAAAGGCTTTAAGAATGTATTTCCAAAAATAACCGCTTAGTGCTCAATTACGTCACTTGATGAACCTTTTGCAAAATTGCATACTTTTAGACCAGATTAGAATGCCCATTTACTTACAAAGTTTCGCCCCCTTAGGGGATGAATTTGAAAAAATCGCTTCTTAGTGAGCAATTAAACCACTTAAAGAGAATATGTGTAAAATGTTATACTCTTAAACAAGACTTTAACAAAGAAAAAGCACCTTTGTGATCAGTTATGCCGCTTAATAAGGAAACTTTGTGTGAAATTTCACACTCCTCGACCAAACTTAAAAAGTTTTATAGCATTTTTTACCTCTAATTTCACCCCCTTAGGGAATAAATCAAATGCCTTATTATCGATTATAATGTTGCGGACCCGTACCGTCTGAACTCGGCCTTAGGCTTGGCCACTCGGCTATGACTCATACGCCCACCGACGTTCGAAGAACGCCGCTAAGAATTTTCGAGATATGTTTGGACTGTCTGTCTTTCTCATATATAAGCCGATGCCCGAAACCTGAAGGGGATAGAGATATATAACCGATCGACGCGTACAGTTACAATCGCCGCGCTAATTCAAAATAAATTTCTGTTAGATAAATAATTAGATAAATTGTAAATAATTTTATAAACTATTTATAACTTAAGTTTTCGGTAAAGGTGTGGATCCGGTGGCTGACCTTGAAGCCCATATTTGCTGCATTTGATCATCGATACTACGCAAGCGCACATCGTCGAGGTTGCCAAATTGCAGTTTATTTTCGAATTATTTGCAGTTGAAATATTTTTTTTGAGTGTTAATCAGGGTTCGGAAAACTACATGTTAGTTTTAAAAACTACATAAACTACATTACATGTAGTTAATGTAGTTTATGTAGAGGATGTAGTTTATGTAACATATGTATGTAACTTTCAAATATCAAAAGTTTGAGATGAGGTTATAATAAGTTGAAGCTTAAAAACACATAATGTATTTAAGAAAACAGAAGAAATATGGCTTTAAATATAATATTTACATCATATTATCTCTATTACACCTCATACAAATGAAAATTATTCATAATATCAATACATAGTTTATTAACGTAGTTTTCATGTAGTTAATGAACGGGAAGAGACGTAGTTTTTGAAGAAAAACTACACGTAGTTAATCAGGTAAATTACGTCTTAATTAACTACTTCCGAACCCTGGTGTTAATCAATAATAATACAAATTCTATAATTAATTTTATAATTTCAGATTTATCTTGATATCTAAAATTAAGGAATGATATATAAAATTGAATATATAAAATTGTAATAATAATAAAACATTTATTTATATATTTACATTAGAATTAAAAATTATTATTTACTGATTTTTTCTTAATGCTTTTAAACTTATTAGAATTATTTTATTTCTTTCAAGTTATTTAATTTCTAGTTATTTACAGGCAACAATAGTTTTGATTATATATATTGATGTATTGAAGTACTACCATGACGAGTCTTATAGAACAATACACGTCAATGGGAGATAGAGGTAACATTTTACCTATAATGTTACTAATATAATATACTTTGATTATAATGTTGGTATCATAATTTCTTAAAAATATCAAGTTAGTGGATTAATAGCAATTTTAGACATATATTTTATCGAAGAGTTGTGGTGATAAGACTAAAATAAGCTTTATGTTTTATCTTTTTCTCTTTAGAAGGGTTTGTGTCGTAGACTTTACAGTATTTAATATCGTATACTTTGATATTCTTTTCTTAATTTACTGTAATTTCTTGTTTCCTATAATGCCAAATCTTGACAATATGGTGAAGGTTGAGTTTTGATCTTATTAGTTTTATACCTGTGTTTATACAAGACTAAATTAAGACTTAGTTTGTGATTTATATTAAGATCTTTCTTATATTTGTTATGTCTTAATCTTAATACTATATTATATGCTTTGTCTGGAAAATAAATGTTAAAATATCTTAATTTTGCATATCCTATTCCTTCCATCCATTAGGAAAATAATGGTTTATAAATCATATAGGTATCACATATGCTAAGAAAATCACATAAATTAGATGTAAGAATAGAGAAATCGTAAGGTAGCAGATAAATTAATGCAATATATGTATAAGCAGATTAAACAAGGTAACTGTTAATGTCGCTGAAGCTGATTCTACCATTTTAATTACGGAGGCTAAAAGGCCTTTTAAATTAAGGCCTCCGTAGTTTTGATGGAATGTTAAAAAAAACTATTATGAACATGACATGGAGCTACAGCATTTAAAAATTCAAAAAAAAAGAAAAAACTTGGACACATCCCTTTTAATTTCCCGAATTTTTAATAAAGCCCTTTTTAAACGTAGCATAATAATCTAGAGCAATTAGATTAATTATAGGAATCTAGAGTTTTATTTCTATTTAATTTTATTGACTATGAAAATACATAATAAGCGTTCACGTGTTGTGCGAAATATTAAAATAATAACATAAATAATATACCGGCGTACTATGATTGAAAAAAAATAGCGTCAGTGATGACTATGAAATGAAGATCGCTGTAATTTTATATGGAAAATGTCCTTTATTGTCATTTCCCAGCCAACTGGACGCCGTTTTTTCGATCATACGGTATATATTGACAAAAAACACTGAAAAGCACATATTTGTTTTCTACTGAAAATAATTCCAAAATAACTTGCAATCTGGCAACATCGAAGATGTGCGCATGCGTAGTGTCTGTGACTATATGCAGCAAAAACTCGTTTCAAGGTCAGCCACCGGATCCACACCATTACCAAGTTTTCTTTTAATCGTTATTGTTTGTAAATTAGTGTTAAATAAATTGTGTTTAAATAAATTGTGACTTTCTATCCACACGGAACCGACGAAAAAACGTAACAATAATAAGGCATTTGATAAAATGAGACACAAACAATTAATAGAAGCCCTAGAACGAAAAAACAAGGGACGACACAAGGGATATTCAAATAATAACTAAACTGTACCTGAATCAAACTGCACCAGTTCGCATTCAATCCAAATTGACAAATGCAGTGGAAATCAAGCGCGGAGTCAGACAGGGGTGTGATCGTTCTCCTTCTTCTTCGTGTGCCTTCTCCTCATCGGAGGTTGGCGATCATCAATTGGTATTCCTCCCTGTCTTGAGCCAAACGGATAATTGCACTGGCCTCTCCTATATTTATCCACTGGCGCAAATTCCGCAACCAGGAAAACCGTTTACGCCCGATGCCTCGTCGTCCTTCAATCTTTCCCTCAACGATCAGCTGTAGGAAACTACATTTGTTATTTCGAAAAATATGACCAAAATATGCTGCTTTCCGTCGTTTTATTGTAGTTAATAGTTCTTGGTCCTTACACATTCTTTCTAATACTTCGAGATTTGTTATTCGTTCGGTCCAGGATATTTTCAACATTCGTCGGTATAACCACATCTCAAATGAATCCAAGCGTGACATGGTCCGTGCCTTCAACGTCCATCCCTCGACTCCGTATAACAATGTAGAGAGTACATAGCATTTGGTAGCTCGCCATCGAGTAGTCAGATTCAGGTCTCGGTTGCAGAGTAGAGTTTTCATTTTGAAAAAAGTGTTTCTGGCTATTTCAATTCTATGTTTGATTTCTTCATCAGAATCCCATTTATCATTCAGCAAGCAACCCAAGTACTTAAATCTTCTTACCCTTTCTATATTTTGATCTTCCACTTGCATCCTGATATTTTCGATATTTTGTTTGCTGATAGTAATAAGTTTTGTTTTGTTTATATTTATTCTAAGACCATGACTCTGACTAATACTGCTAACTCTGTCCACCAGGCACTGCAAATCCTTCTCATTGCCAGCTAGGAGCACCGTATCGTCAGCATATCGGATGTTATTAATAGGTTTACCATTCATTCCGTTCGTTCTCCACTCCTGTTTAACGTCTACTCAGAGAAAATCTTCACCAAAGCCCTCGAAAATGATGCCGGCGGAATAAGAGTTAACGGCACTCTACTGAAAAACCGCTGAAAACATGCAAGATCTACAAAACATGTTGAATAATGTCGTCACAGTTAGTCGAGAATATGGTCTCGACGAACTGTGACGACATATAGACTATATGGACTTAACGTTAAGAAGACCAAATATATGATTGTCACCAAAACTGAAGCGCCCAATGAACAACTATATGTAGAAGACGAAATGCTGGGAAGAGTCGAGAAGTATGATTACCTCGGTATACGTGTTGACTGTTCCGTAGATTATTGTTTAGAAATAAGGATTCGAATCGAGAAGGCCCGTGCCTCGTTTATGAAGATCAAGAAGCTTCTCTGTAGCCGCGACCTGAGCTTGGAGCTGAGAACACGGATGCTCAAGTATTATGTATTCCCAGTTCTCTTGTATGGTGTGGACCATTAACGCATACTGCGAGCGAAGTCTAGAAGCCTTTGGGATGTGGGCCTATCGTAGGATGTTGAGAATATCATGGACAGATCATGTAACCAATGTCGAGGTTTCCTTCATGAAGTGAAAAAAAGAAAACTTCAATATCTTGGCCACATCATGAAAGGTCCAAAATATGAAATCCTACAGCTCATAGTTCAAGGAAAAATTGTAGAAAAAACATTTATTGGAAAGAGAAGAATATCTTGGCTTAGGAACCTGCGAAAATGGTTTAACGTCACATTATTTGACTTATTTAGAGCCGCAACTTCCAAAGTTTGATATTATAGTTGTATATATCTATGTCTATGATAGCCATGCAACCTCCGAAATGGAGATGGTACATGAAGAAGGCGAAGGGATAAATTTTCAAAATCGCTTCTTAGTGCTCACTTAAGTTACTTAAGGAAACAATATATTATGTAGTGATGGGAATAATCGAATTATTTTCACCATCGAATAATTAGTAATAATTCATATTTCAGAATCGAATTAATAATTCGAATTATTTAGTAGTATTATAAATTTAACCTAAAAATAAATTCGTCCCAGCTACTGCTCGTCTAGGGGCTATTTTAAACAAATCTGAACCATTGCCATACCTATATTCTATCACTGAATAAAAAATTTAAAAAAATATTCTTTATTCAATGTATTCTATTAACTGTGCCGAAGCCGTTTAATAAATTAAACCATAATTTAAAGTTTTAAATTTAAAAGTGCCGATTGTTTCAATTCCTATCGAAAAGCTCATATCTAAAATAAAAGCTACTTCTAAAACGATGTAAGTATGTCCTTGTTTACGTGCGGTTCGTATTTCTTTTTATTTTATCAGTTGCAATCAATAATTATTTAGATAAAAGAAGAAAATTAATTTTAGTGTTCGGTGAAATTTGGGTGAGATGGAAATGAACCAAATAATAGTAGTATTCTTTCGTTCTGAACGAAATGAAAATTTCCACTTAAACTGATTTATTCCTACGTGGTATAGGAAATAACAATGATTTCTGGATTTTTCTATATCGGATCGTTCCTTTCTTTGCCGATTCCCTTTATAAATCAGTTTAAGTGAAAATTTTCAGTTCGTTCAGAACGAAAGAATACTACCAATAGGTAGTACTATACTAATTACTAATATTCGTATTTGTCCATAAGAGGTTATGTTTTAAGTTCATTTGTAATTCGGTTACAACAGATATAATATAAAATACTACTAATTTTTATCTCGATATATAATTTATCTCGAATTATAGACAAATCGAAAAACGAATACATCTCGAAAAAGATAATTCGAATTAGTTAGTTTTAATTTACTATCGAATTAGTCGTATTATTTAATTCGAATTTTCCCAACACTAATATTATGCATTTTTTAAATAATCGTTCAGCATGTCCGAATAAAAATATGAGGCATTCATCTTCGTTGAATAGAAGTATAGGTATGAATATTTTCTCTCTTCTGAGCTTTTTTTCTTAACACAAAATACAGGGGTAATTTTGCTCTATAATTTGTTATGTTACAAAACTGAAATTTTAATATAATATGTATGTAAATGAACATGAAAGTTTGGAATAAATTATTAAAATAAACTTTCGGGAAATAACCTAAAGTAGGTCAAGATCGAATAGCGAAGAAAGATATTATTTCGTATTTCCTCGCCTGACTTTGCGTCGTCTCGGCTTATTTTCATTAAACAGGGAAACACAAAATAACCCTCTACACCATTCCACTTTGACATACTTCGGTCTATTTTGCGAGTAGTGTAGTGGCCGTTTTACACATTAGCAGCTAGAAAAATATCCTTCGATATTCTAAATTTTGTTAATGTTTAAAAAACTGTCAATAACAAAATGAAATGAGTGAATGAAAAACAGAACCAATGGAATGTAGATAACAAATCAAAAGAGGCTATTTTTGGTTCTTATTACCTGTACACCTACCTTTTTAACTTAATAAGGGCAACATTTGTTGATTTTTTTAATATGTATTTTTTTTGTTACAGAATTTATGGAAATGATGACTGGGGAAGTATAATCGTCCGGTAAAACAACAACTTCAAATCTTAATATTAAGTGCATTTTTTATTTCTTTATATAGATGACACTGTATTACATGGACAGTATGTTAATAATGATTTATCATAAAATATTTTAATATTTTTGCAAGAACAATTCTTAAAGATATCGAATAAAAATATGATATTTTTCAACTTTATATTAATATACTATATATAAATGTATGTACGTTGTAAGTGAATTTGTACCTTGGGCAAGCATTAATTATGTGTGATATTAGAATATATTATTGGAATAAATAACATCTTATAGGCAATTGATTTTCATTTAAAACCACATATTTTATTGTTACACTTTATTTTTATAACAAATCCATGATTTTCAAACACATTTTACATTTTTGAACCGTTAAAATTCATTTTTTTAATATATTTTTATCTAAATTACATTTATTTAAGCCTTCAGAGAGTGTGAATAGTACAAATTAATATTTTTAACAAAAGGTAAAAAAAGATTTGAAAATCATGAATGCAAAGTACGAGTATAATATACTAGCTATTTATATAAAAGTTAAAAAAGTTTAGAAAAGCATCACCGATTATGAGGCTTTTTCCATACAGGAGCTTGTTTTTATAGAGGATGTTTCAAATATAAGGGGTGATTCCTTGTTAGAAATAGAAAGTGTCATATAAACGTTCGTTGGGACAAAACACTTCCGTTTTTAAAATAAAAATAATCTTACAGTTGGGGGGTTGGAACCTTTAGTGTTACAAAAGCAAAATAAAACACTAATTCGCCAAAACACCCAAAAACACTTTTACTTTTGCACTGGACGCGTGTTTCGCTAACAATGTTAGCAACATCAGCAGATGATTAAAACTCAGACACTAAACAAAAAGTTGTAGTCATCTGCTGATGATGCTAACATGGTTAGCGAAACGCGCGTCCAGTGCAAAAGTGTTTTGGTGTATTGTAGCACCGCCCATATCATTTCTAGATTTTTACAAAATTCAAATGATAGTGTTTAGCAAAACATAGGTACCCCAAATCTCAGTTAAATCGGAATAACGGTTCTAAAAATATCGTAAAAATGTGTTAATGTTTTTAAAGTTTCATGCCCTCTAACGCACAAACGAAGCACTTTTGTGTAAATAAACAAAAATTGAGTCTAATGAACTTATTTTGATACCAAAAATACGTGGTAGTTCTATGCCCACGGAATACTGCGACACCATGTATAAGCTGCCATTCATTTTTACTAAGAAGACACCCCTTAAAGTTTTGAGCAATCCTTTTGAAACACCCTGTTGTACTTACATTTTCATTACAAATCTGTTACAACAATAATTTTACAATACACGAACACAGCATACAAATACAACCTTTATTAACATATAAATGAGTGTATTATCTCATTTTTTGAGCAGTGTCTAACATTACAACATATTTTCAATAAGCCACAATAGAAGAGGATATTAAAAATTAATGAATAATAATTTTAATCAACAATTTGCGTTTTTAGAAAAAGTTAATTATATGAACCATGTCTTGTCCATTTTTCGTATATCTTAATATTCTTTTAAAATATAGTATATGAAAGTAAAAAAGTTTATCTTATGAAAGTCTGAATCATTGGTTTTGGTAAGTAGCATTTTGGGAAAGATTGGCGAAACAGAGAAGACTTTCTTTGGTACAAAAAATTATTAAGCAGCGACGGAGAGGCAAACAAACAAATTTCGGAAAATAATACACCCAAAGAAAATCAAGACAAGCTATGCGATTGCCTAGATGAAGAAAATGCTGGACATATTTGACCCTTTTACCTTTTTTTTCAAATATCACCTTAATTATCTATTTTTGTTCATTAAACAAAAATAAATATTTTTTTTTCACCAAATGTATGTCATTTGTGTGCAAAACCAGATATATCCAATCTTTCTTTGCAAATAACGCCGAAGTAATTACTTTTTTACAAAAAGAAAAAATGTCAATCAGCAAATCTACACATTTGAATTAAAACTGTCATCTTAAAATAATTCCATTTTCTCAATTAAAAATGTGGCACGTTTTTATCGTCTCTTGAAAAATGTTTAAAAATGGATATATTCGGTTCTGCACGCGAGCCCCTCAATTATGCCGAAATCGACCCACATTTTGCATCAATATCAAATCCTTAGCCCCACCCTGATGAAGATGTAAACAAAACGTCGCGTCGTGTCCAACTTTGCAGAGTTGCACCGTGTGCACCGTCGCCTCACATTGCCTACCCTCCAAATTTTGTCGCAAATGACATCAACTTTTGACGTTTCTTACGTCAAAACTAACTGTCACAGTGACACGCATATATATGGAGCTATACAAAATCCACATAAGTCGATCCTTTTCGTTCAACAGCTTTGAATTACGCAAGCGGGAGAAGTGCTTCTCGATTAGTTGATTTATTTCATACTAACCAACAGAAGTAGTTTAGGTTTCTATCTACCACGTAAAGCAATTTAGCGTCTGACTATTCGCGCCTTTACTTATAAATTTAAATTTAATCTCTGACATATTTAAACAAAAACGAGAAACGGATAGATATGATGAATATCTAAAATAACAGGTTGAAATAAAGCCAAAAAATGGCGCCGGGAGGCACGTATAGCCGCCCATACTAAAATATGTTAATAAAAAGTTGGTAGGCAGTTCTTTTAGTTTCAAAGTAAAGGAATTTTTCCAATTTTTTTTTAACTTTCCATACCCCCTTCCAACCCCCCAGTATTTAACTCATTATGAGTGATTAACTCATTTTGAGTGAAATTAAAAAAACTTTTTTTTTGCCGATCTTAATAGCCCACCATACCTGGTGGTATGGTCGGCTAATAATATATTATACAGTACGTCTGCTGGATCTGTGTCTATGAAAAGAATGCGGACAAAAAACATTTAAATAAACAGAAATATATTTTATACGTCGACTTGACGAGTACGTAACCGCAAATCGCTCCGCCCACTCATTTTATTGGCTACTTGCAAATTTGTCGAATTTTTATTGATGGGACGCGTCGTCTAATTTTTTACGAAAAACATTGAGAGAATATCGTTTCCCCTCTCACGGATACCCCGTAGCTACAGAACGGACAGCCGTACTGTACGTTATTAATATTTAGAGTTTAAAATATAATACGCGGGCAGGTGACAGCGTTCAGCGGTGAAGTAGATAAATCAGATCGTTTTATTTGGTGCGTGCGCACAAAAATCCTGTTGAGCGAAAAGGATAGACTTATGCAATATTGATATTCCTATTTTTTTCTTTGGCTTCACTTTCCACTCATTCTGTAAATGCGGTACTCACAATATATTCTTATAATATATTTGGTGACACGTGTCGTACCGTAACCACCGTAATAACAAGGCCATCCAGCTGTGACGTAAAAATCTCGTGACGTCACCAACTGGAGGCGTAACTCTATTTAGCAGCGTTGATAATTACCCGATAAAAGTTCAGATTGTGGATCTTTTTTCACTCAGTAGATATATTTCGAAGTTTTAAAATGTCTTTATCTGAGTTTTTTTAAATATTATAGTATATAAAAATAGTTTTAATAGAATACGGAAAAAATCATACCAGTCAATACATGTTTATCTCTCACTTTTTATCAATCAAATTTAGTAAAGGAATATTTTATAGGACATTTAAATCTGAAATTAGAAACCTATTTATATGGCCAAAATACTACAGTCCAGGTAAATGAACTAAAAACACCATTTGAAAGATTTATTATAAATGAAATTGATAGTAGTGAAGTTGAAATTGATTCACTAGTTTTACAAAGCTAATAGTAATAGTAATACTGATCAAATTATTAGTCATGCTTGTTATTTATTAGGGAGTTTTCGTTGCTTACAAATTGCAATTCCGGTTAACGCTAATTGACAACTTTGACATTTCAATTTAGATTATCGTATATCGTAACCGCTAGCTGCCGATATTTTACGGACGTTAACCAAAGCCGTTAACATAGCGGTACGCATGCGCACTAGCGCAGTAGAAACACAACATTGAAAAATACAGATCTAACCTAACATCATTCTATTTTGTTTATGTTTTGATTATTTATTTTATCTGTGTTAAACTCGTTGGGAATTCTTAGTGCTTCAACTAATCGAGGAATGTCTTTTTTTCAAAGCATAAGTTAGCTTTGCACTCTTGGTCAGATAATATTTCTAGGTTGAACTCCCCATAAAGTTCTGCTCGATATTCGATGTTGTTTTCAAACCCTTCCAACAGCATAGCATCCTCCAAATCCGATTCATCACTAGAGTCCAATAAAATTAAATTGCCCATCCTATATAGCGATACCCAATAAAGTCATATAAAGCACTTTCAAATCAAACAACAATACAAAAACCAAAAATCAAAACACTACGCTACGGGCTGTGCTTAGCTGTCAGTTTTCGGTTATCGTATCGTATGTCGGCTCTGAACCGATGAACCGAAAGTCCGAAAACTGTTTTTTTATCTGTCAAAATAGCGGTTATGGTTACGTATCCGTTAACCGTACCGTTGAATTTTTTTAAAGCAACGAAAACTCCCTATTAAATTCTTTAAAATGCGATGAACATAATAAATTCCTAACTTTTATCTGTGTTCAATATTAAAGTTGTTAACTTGAGTTCAGTAACAGGTTGAAGTTGAAGTAATAAAATATTGTTTTAATGAGTAAAATGAAGTATGTTTTACTAGAGAACTTGCAAAACTGATCCTATTGAAAGTAGGTTTGGAAAATATCGAGGGGTGAACACTTGGGGGATTTATGGTGTACACATGAGAGGATTTCCAGGGGATGTACCGAGGATGTAGTGGATGTACCGAGGATGTAGTGGATGTACCGAGGATGTACTAGAGGATGTAGGGGATGTACCGAGGATGTAGGGGATGTACCGAGGATGTACTAGAGGATGTAGGGGATGTACCGAGGATCTACCGGGGATGTATTTCGAATTATTTGGGGCGTAATTTGCCGAATGCGATGTTTCAAGTCATCCAAATTTGTGGGTTGTCTTTTGAATACATTTTCCATAAGGTATCCTCTTCGGTATCATCTTAAAAAAGGTTTTTTTCTAATATTTTTTTTTACTTTTTAATTTTTAAATGCGAATAACTCCAAAAAGCTTGGATTTGGGTATAGCACTTACATGGAAAATATTCAGAATTTTAAGAGCAATTCAAAAATGCAGAAAAATAATAATTATGTTGCCACGAGGGTTGCCATTAAAAGAAATTGTTTTGGACATAGCATTTTTGAGAAACCCTGTATAATATTCATTTTTTGC